CTTCATAAATGTTTGTCCAGGGAAGGAGTACACATGTGAGTAGCGAAGTGAGGGGATAAGTAGATTCACTTCATGGATTTTTTATTTTTTTAAAAGTATAATACACGCAGGAAGGCTAAGGGCCTAGATTAAGTGCATGTAGGTGTCTAGGGGAAGTATTTATAGATGGATGGACTATTTATAGATGGATGGATCAGGGAATCTCTGTCTGGGAGGTAATCATTTTCCTGAGCATTGAAGGATGGATAGAATTTGAATATGCAGTGAGTGTGCTGGAGTTAAGGGACAGAAAAGACAGAGATTAACAAAGCAGAAAAGTTGTGGGGTTATTTTTGGTTTTGTTAAACACGGAAAAATAGTTTGACAATACTTACTCCTCCCCAACTTAAGGAGATTAGTATTTATATTTTACTTTTTTGCGTTGACACTGGAAAATCTCTTGCACTATTTTGAATTATGAGAAGGACCACATTTGGTAGTGAATACAGTGTAGATGCTTATTAAATATGTTTAATAAATAAATAATCTTAAAAATAAAATCTAGGTCATGGAGGGCCTTAAGGACCAATGGAAGCGATTGCCTTGATTTTGAAAGCAGTGAGGAAAAGAACAGAGAGTGACTTGTGAGAAGAGGGCTTCAGAAAGATCAGTCTTGCATCCGTGTAGAGATAGGGCAGACAGGAAAAAGAGACATTGCCATGGTGCACATGAGAGGTAGTGAAGGCCTGGACTATGCAGCAAGTCAGAGGTGGGTTGAAAAATGCAAGAGAGAGTTATGGTTAGGCTCAGATGTCACCCTGAGCGAGCTCACAGTTGAGTTGAAATAACTGTAAGAAACTTTAGACTTTTCGAACAGGAATAGGATTGCAAGAGACCGACTTTTAAATTCAAATTTTGAAATCATTGAGTGCAGTCAAATCCCTGGTTTCGTTGGTAAGAAAACTGAGGCTCAGAGAGGTGAAGTGACTTGCCCAATGTTACACAGCAAATTAGTGGCAAAATAAGGCTAGAACTTTGTTTCCAGTTGCCTGGTCAAGTGTCCATATAAAGAAAATTGTTTCCTCCCTCCCTCCCTCCTTTCCTCCCTTTCTCCCTCCCTTCTTCTCTTCTTTCTTTTTTGTTGATTTCCCACCAAAAAGATTTTTTAATGTCATGGTTCATTTTTTCTAGTAAAATAGACTGCTTGGTTTATAATGTTGCCACTAGTACATGTCAGCTGTGTGACCTTAGTGAGCTATTCATCCTTCTAAGCTTCCACCTCCATATCTGAAAGGCAGACACAATTTAGAATTACCATAGGCTCCTTAAGAGTATTAAATGACATAATCCTTGTAGAGAGCTTAGCACCATGCCTGGAATATAGCAGGCATCTAATAAGACAGGGATCTGTAATCATCCTCACTGCTAGCAATTATTAACCACGATCCTATGATAAATGACTTGCCTGACTGCAGGTCAACATCATTAACTAGAATTTTGAGAATCACGGGATGATCTCTTGGAGTGCTGACTGACTTGGCCCCTAGCTGCTGAGACATGCAGCCTTTGCTGGCCTTGCTTTTCTCATCTGAAAAATCGAGAGGACTATGGTGAGACAGAAAAGGGAGAAGGATACGAGAGAGCACGAAAAGGCAGAACTGTGTAGAGCTTAGGAAGTAAATCATTTCCAGAAAGAATCCCACTATGGTCCTATTTAGAAGCATCTTGAAATCAGTTTGATGATGACACTGTGTCATCAGACTGCACAGACACGGTCATTTTGTGAACATGCTTCTCAGCTTGCAAGACATACAAGCCCATGTTATTCTTTCCCACCCCAAATAAAAGCAGGGCAGGTCAGGACTGATGAAGAGCTCCCAGGAGAGAGCACTGGTTGTTTCTAAGAGTTGGGAGAACAGGCCTATTTCACAATGAAGTTTCCTGTTGCATAATTACTCTGCCAGAGAATGTCATCACTGAGGACTTCAAGGAAAAGCAGATACCATTTAGACCCTTCATCCTCCAAACGCTATTAGTGCTATTACCCCGATGACTTAATCTTGGCATATGATGTCAGCCTGTGCCTTCTTTTCTTCTTCCTTTTTTCTAACTTCACAGACAGGAAAACGGAGTCAGAGGAGACCAGGAAGTTGCTCACCATGACAGGGGTAATACCAAGGGAATAGTTCCAAGCTTTTTCTAAGTAATAGGCTGGTGAGTTTTAGTAGAGAGTATTCTGGATTTTAATTTTAAACGAGAAAGAGATTGGGAACGACATCTGATAGTGTTATTTCTCTCTCTGCCTCTGTTTCTTTCTGCTGCTTCTCGGTCTTTGATACCTTTTCTCTAGGAATCTTAGAATGAGTATGAACTTTTAGGGGATTTGTGATAAAAGTGGTCCTACTGAAGGCATGTTGCCTTGAATGTGGGAGCCTCCTCCATGCTTTTAACTGGATGAATATAGACTTTTTCCCCTGTGAGCCAAGTTAAACAGTTTTCACTGGCTTCTTCACAGATGAGTACACCTGAGAGCTGGCTGGGTTATGCAAGATTGTTGATGTAGGTGAGAAAAGTTTGTCTTTAGGTCTCTCCCCAAGTGTAGCAGCAACCCCAAAGCTGAAGTGATCTTCAGCTGGTATCACCGTTCCCACTGGTCAAGACCATGCCATACTAGTTGTCAAATATTTTGAATATTCCCTTTCCTTCACGGTGATGACATTCGCCTTTGTTTCAAGTGAAGGGCCTGCCTCTTTGCTATATGACTGAGGACTGTGTATTATTCTTCTGCCCCCTCATGGTGGGATTCTCTCTACATCTTCATTACTTTTTGACTTGGGATTTTGTTGTCAACAAGTCAACAGAGATAAGAATGTTAATTTCATCAAGAGCTGTCTCTGGGGAGGCAGGGAGTACGGGAAGATGGGGATAGCATTGGCAGTGGCCAATACAAAAGGACCAGACATGACCATCTGAGAACATTATATTTCTTGCTATCTCTGACCAAAGAAAGGATGTACCATCAGCACTGGGAAATGGTAGAAATATATGGACCTCCCTGTGTGTCAGATACTAAGGGAAACTCATTAGCTATTCAGTTACTCAGTCTCATCCCCTTGACTAAATGCCTCAATATGGAACCAACTAGCATAGTGTACTAAGTTGAGACCTGAAAAGATTAGGTTGCCTCCTAAATAACTGATTCATTCCAGGAACAGTTACTGTCATCAGGCTAAAGCAGCCTGTTTAATACCCATAAAACTCCACTCTCTTTAAATAAAGGAAGGAAAACTTCTAATAGAGAACTAAGCAATGTTTCGCTATGATGTCCCTGTAGTAGCTGCATTTGGTCCTAAACATTTATTCCCATAACCTTTGCAAAGCATTTCCCCCAAACCATTGAGTAGTAGAATTTTAAAAATGTATTTGACTGTCACACTTAAACAATTTGGGGCAGTTTTCCAATTTTCCACTAGGGAAGAGGAAAAAGCAGCAGTTGGCAGCTGGTGATTGAAATGCAATTTTCCCTGGTGTACGAATCTTTGCTATTATCAGTGTGTTACACTGGTCACAATTCCATGGTGCTTCCTGCCTGCAATGCCATAGCCTAAGCTCGCTCTTCCTGGTGTTTGCCCTCTGAATTCCACTGACAGTCAGAGGAATCATCACTGCAGCCTGCGTTTCTGGTGCTCCTCGTGGTTTTTAATCTCATTTGAGCCTTTAACCTCATTTGAGCCAAATGCAACTCTTTGAGAGATTGAGGGCAGGTATAAATTATCCCCATTTTACTGATGGACAAATTTGGACTCAGAGAAGAAAAGTAACTTACACAAGGACAGAGTTAGTGATCTTGGATACTGACCATCTTCTGTCTCTTAGTCTAGTGTTTCCTTTCACAACAACACAGGAGCATAGAAAAGCCTGTAAGGAAAGGAGTCTGCACAAAGTAGGTTGTCTTAGTCCCCAGACCCAATAGGTAGGGTTGGGATTGTCCTACATGATACTCTACTTTTAAAATGTAGTAATAATCTGGTTACCAAAAAGCTCCATTTTCATCACCAGCATCATAAAGAGAGAGTTTTCAAAAATCAGTACATAAGATTGGGTATATCATGATATTAGCATTCTATATTATGCACTAAATATGAAATAATACTATAAAATACTTATATTTTTATGACCAAGTCCAGAAGTTTTAATACTAATGGGCTGTATAGATCATGAACTCAGTTTAATGGGTTGCTACCAGAACTAAAAGAAAACATAGGGCAAGATGCCATATGATAGAACTGAAAATAACAAAATACATTGCTTGTAGCAAAAGTGAATAGCGTTCTCTGAATTCTTTTGTTCACATAGTATATGTAGGAAATCACAATGTTGAATGTATTTTTTTTTTTTGAGTTGGAGTCTTACTCTGTTGCCCAGACTGGAGTGCAGTGGTCGCTCCTGGCGGGCTCCGGTGATCCTTCCGCCTCAGCCTTCCAAGTAGCTGGAACTACGGGCGCGTACTACCACGCCTGGTTAAATTTTTTTTTGGTTTATTGTAGAGATGAGGTCTCACCAAGTTGCCTAGGCGGGTCTCGAACCCGCGGGCTCAGGCAATCCACTCACCTCAGCCTCCCAAAGCGCGGGATTACAGGCTGAGCAACTGAGCCCGGCTGAATGTATTTCTTACTTAGTAGTTTTCTCTTATTTTCCTCTCTCTCCTCATTCTCCTTTCTTTTTTGTTCTCACTCTCCTTCTCCAGGCATACAGGAAATGTACCCAAATATCTGCTCCCTTTGCCCTATTTACCATCTCACCCTCCCCAGCCTCTGTCCCTCTTAACATTGTTATCCCCTCACCCAAGGGTCTAGGGCAGAGATCGATCTCTATAGCTCATGCTTCTTGCTCTTCCTCCCTTCTTCCTCTCTACTGGAAAGACCCTTGTGTAGGGTGATCGTCAAGACTGGACCTGCTAGTTCTATCCTTGTTTAATAAATAAATTGTTCAATTTCTAAACCACTGTATTTTCATTTCAGACAAAGCAACTCACACTTGAAGAAATGAAATCTCCAAGGGGAACCATTTTGTGCTTCATGTTTATTGTGTTTTATTCATCCAAAGCTACACTGGATTTGAATTTAGAGTCTGTTGTTCATCCTTTGGTGAGTAAATCCCTGTCATATTTCTCTGATTTCCCAGGGGGAAAATTTTTTAGGAAGAAAAACATTATTTTGGGGAAAATTCTCCTCTCGGTACAACATTTTTAAGAACGAGGGGGGAGGGGTGAATACAAATGGACTTCAGTGTATTCACTGGGCTACAATTTGCAATGCTCAAAAATCAGTGGCTGTGTCAAGGGAACATCCAGGGAGCTTCAAGAGAGACCTCCCAGGCATCCTTCCTTCACTAAATTGCAACCTCCATGCCTGAGGCATCCACTCAGTGCCAGCAACAGCGATGACAACAAAGCAGATCTGTAGGATGGAGAAGAACTATGCTCTCAAAGGATTCATTGTAACTTGTGCATCAGGCTGGAACACCTTTCAGAAGACATTAATCTCTCTGTGTTTATCACAATCACAGACAGATATAGCTAAAAGGACCACAGATATTATCTAAGACCTTTGCTGAAAAATTATACAGGTTGTTTTGTCTTTGGAAAGTTGATTGGAGTTTAGCTTAAGTAAAGGGAGGGGCAATTACCCCCTTATTCCTTATAGGAACTATAGGGTTATTCCTTACTCAGGCTTCTCCATGTCCTGCCTCCCAGAGACAGCACGTGTTACTGGTTGGGAGATCTTGGAAGGCGGAGGCAACTCTCTGTGTCTTAGTTTCTCCACCTGTAAAACGATGACAATCACAGTACTGATTCCCTATGATTACTATGAAAATTAAATTAGTTACTATTTATAAGATGCCTTAGAACAGTGTCTGGCATATAATAAGTGCTATAGAAGTGTTTGCTATTATTTCTCCCATTATAATAGTATTTTTTTCTACTTTTAAAAAAAGTATTCAATTTTATTTTCTCCAGTCAGTATTAGAGCTTCATTGGTACATTTTTAACATTATAAAATGTCTGTCTTTGTTTTACTTAGTACATTTAAATTTAATTCTCTGTCTTCTATTCCAATTGTCAGTTACACTTTTGTATTTGTGTTTGCTTGATTTTTGTCCTTTATTTTGGTTTAGCCTTTATGTAAAACTTTGCTTTAACAATTCTCTTATAAACAATGTGTTTGAGGGTTTTTTCTTTTAAACCACATCCGAGTAAATTTGACTTTGATAGGGGAGTATACTTTATTCACATTTGATATCATTTTTAAAATGCTTGATTGCTTCTTTAAGTTTTGTTTCATGACTATGTACTTTCTTCCCCTTTTCATCTTTGGATCACATTGTTTGGTCTAACTTGTCTTTATGTTTTTTCTTTCTAATTTCTCTTATAACTTGGAGGGTATACATGATGTGTCTCCTCTTCCAAATTCCAGTGTGCAGGGTACAGCCTTTCCTCTCATATGCAGCAGCCTGTTTAAGTAAACAGAAGAGGGAACACATTCACTCTTCTTGTGAATTCACATGGTCAGGGCAGTTCTGACTATCTCAGGCATGTGGGTCGAAAGGCAGGGCTCGAGATGTTTCAGTAATAGGGATAGTCTTGCCTCTTTTTTTGTAAAGATAAGGTTTTTCTATGCTGTCTAGACTGATCTGGAACTCCTGGGCAATTATTCCCTTCTCCTACCTCAGCCTCCCAAATGTTGGGATTATAGACACAAGCCATTGCACCTGGCCTCTAGCTTTGCCTCTGTTGCAGTTTTTTAATGCTCCCGGCTGCAGCAGTGCCTTCCTACTATATCAGATCTCCCCTCTTAATGGTGGTTCTGACAAAGCCCCTCATCCTGCTTGGTGGTACAAGCTGGTGAAGGGATAGGCTAATGACCTCCTAGGGTTGCTGATAGAATTTGAACTCCATCTTCCTGGAAGGTCCCACCACCCACCCCAAAGAACCCACTTTTCCTTGCTAAATCTACCCTTCAAAGTATCATGTCTTCATACAACTCAAAGGGCAAGGACCCCGCCCCCATTGGAGAGGTATACTTGAACCTACTGGATCAGGTTATACTGTCCTAAACTGCCACCCAGTCCACTTGGCAGATCTTCTACCATCTTAAATGCAACATGTAGTTACGGACTTCTTGCTTTAAAAAAATTGTGGACCCTGGGGAGGTGAATCTCCTCTTTCTTTCTCTCTCCAATTTACTTTCTAAATAAACTATATATTTAAATCTATTTTAAAAAATTTAAAAATCATGGCAAAATGCACCTAACAAAATTTAGCATCCTTAAACCATTTTTAAGTATACAGTTGAGTAGCAGTAAGCATATTCACATTGTTGCACAACTAATTTCCAGAATTTTTCATCCTGCAAAACTGAAACTCCATACCCCTGTTAAACACCAGTCTCTTATATTTCCTTCCCACAGCCCCTGGCATTCACCATTTTACCTTTTGTCTCTATGAACTCAATGACTCTAGGAACTTTATAGAAGTGGAATCATACAGTTTTTGTCTTCTTGTGTCTGGCTTACTTCACTTAACATATCGTCCTCAAGGTTCATGTTATAGAATGTGTCAGAGTTTCCTTCCTTTTGAAGGCTGAATAATGTTCCATTGTATGGACGTACCACATTTGTCCGTTCATTCATTCATTCACAGACACAGGTTGCTTTCACCTTTTGGCTATTGTGAATAATGCAGCTACGAACATGTGCGTACCAATATGAGATGATGGACATTTAAAGTGTGATGATGTGGCCAATGCTTCTCAGACTTCAATGTGTGCATGGATCCACCCAGCCACCTTCATGTAATGCAGATTTCAGTTCAGTGAACCTGGGGTGGGACTGTAGAAGTTGGGGTTGAAGTCCAGCTCTGACCCTTCCTAGTTTTGAAATCATCACCAAGTTTCTTCATCTCCCTAAACCTATTTCCTCTACATAAAATAAGAACAAATGGTATCTCCTTCATCTGTGTGTTGTGAGGTTTAAATGTTTTCATACATGTAAACTTTGACATGGTGACTAGAACAGAGCCCAAGTGCTTATGAATTTGTAATTATTTGGAATATTCTAGTATAAATCAACCTGTCTTAATACACTTGTGCAAGGAGACATTGCAATTGTACCCTTGCAGACAGCTGTCTAACACGGAAGCAAAGATGTTAAATCAGAGGTTTCAGGTCAAGAAAAAGGAGTGGCAGGGCTCGGGCATGTAGGAGTGAGATTTAGGACACCTGGGCCCTTTGGTGAGCACCTTGTTGCCATCCTGTTCCCTGGAGATTTTCTTTTCCACACATAGAGAGCCACCTCTCATTCCTGACTGAGTGCTCACCCCCACACCAGACCACCCTGCCCCACCTCCACTACAATTACTTGTGAAGTCATCATGTCCACAAGTGGGGCCCTTCCTGGAATTGGTGACCTTGTCTTTTCCTCTGAAGCACAGTCATCAGGAAATCCCCTCTGGACAGAACTGGCCACTGCGGCTCAGATCCTCATCTGGCCATTTCTACACAGAGCATACAGGAGCCCAACTGGAAGCTCTGCTTTCTTGTCTGAAGTAAACACACCACTGAGTCTTGTGGCCTCCTGGTGGGACCGACACTTTCTGGTGGGTTCTATCCCAAAGTTTAAGAGAAAAGGCAAGAGGTGGAGTCTCACAGTTCCCCAAACTGGAGTGGCATGAGGACTAGGACGGCAAGGCTGGTCCCCGAGGAGCCCCAGGCCAGCAGGACACAGGGGCGCATACCACTGTTGGAGACCACACCAAGCGCTTGAAGTGCCTTAGTACATATTTCTCATAATGTAAGAAACTGAGGCTTAGAGGTAGTGAATGACTTTCAACTTTTTGTTACTCAGTGAGGATCTGAGGAGGTGGGACTCAGTTTGTGGTGTGACCAGCATTTGCTCCATGAAATTCAGGTCCCCTAACCTGACAGGAAGCTCTTCACACCTCCTTAATTCTGGGATGGTCAAGGACATTTAAAACCATCACACCCCTAGGTACCCTGAGGCTTTGATACTGTCAGTTTGCTTTTTCCTCTGTATCTCCAGTGATCACAGGGCTTAAAATAAAAAGTAGGTAATTCTCACAAGTCGTGAATCCTCACTGGATAACAGAGAGGCCATAGGTGACAGAGTTGTGGAAGCAGCACTTTGCAGAGATGTACCCTGAAAGTTCCAGATGATCACCATAAAGATTCAGAAAATCTTCAAGAAGCAGTGTTTCAGAAGGTGACCTCACATTGAGGGATGTGCTGGTTAAAAAGACAGTTTTCTGTACCTGGACCCACTGAATCAGATTTGGGTCAGGGGAGGCAAGTGATCCTTATTTTCACAAACACTCAAAATACTCTGCATTAGACAATTGCAATGGACCAGTTACAGTGGCTCACGCCTGTAATTCTAGAACTTTGGGAGGCTGAGGTGAGATTAAGAACAGCCTGGAGCCGGGTTTGGTGGCTCAACCTATAATCCTGCGCCTTGGGAGGCTGAGGTGAGTGAATTGCCTGAGCCGGGTTTGAGACCCACCTGGGCAACTTGGTGAGACCTCATCTCTACAATAAATAAAAAAAATTAGCTGGGCATGGTAGCGCACGCCTGTAGTTTCAGCTACTTGGAAAGCTGAGGAGGAAGGATTGCCGGAGCCCAGCAGGTCGAGGCTGTGGTGGCCAGGAGCGGCCACTGCACTCCAGTCTAGATGACAGAATGAGTCTCCAACTCAAAAAAAGAGAATGAGTCTCCAACTCAAAAAAAGAGAACAGCCTGGACAACATAGTAAATCCCAACTCGAAGAAGAAGAAGAAGCAGAAGAAGCAGAAGAAGGAGAAGAAGGAGAAGAAGGAGAAGAAGGAGAAGAAGGAGAAGAAGGAGAAGAAGGAGAAGAAGGAGAAGAAGAAGAAACAAAAGAACAGAAGAAGAAAAATTAACAAGAAAGAATTGCATTGTACTTGATTTTAATATAAAACTCACAGTAGCAAGATGGCAGTGTTTTGGTCCCATGGGAAAATAGAATGGAAATTCAACCCGGGAGAGCTGCCTGAAGGTGACCACGAGCGGACATGTTTCTCTGAGCTTTCTGAGTTCTCTAACCCTGTCTTGGAGGGTGAACAGGGAAAGCTTCTGCGTGGCCATCCCATCCTCCTCCCCAGGTCCCAGGGAGGATGGAGACAGGAATGCATGGAAGAACCTTTCTTCCTTCTGGGCATAGAGCCAATGAAGCCTCCAGGGGAAGCTGGACAGGAAGCAACCCATACATTGGCTTTGCACCTTTGATTCCTGCATATTTAAGTACATCTAAAATAAACTCACTGCAAGTAAAGCACTGCAAGTACTCGGCTTTTGAAATTCCAGTCATCATCCATCATTCCTCTATTTCTCCAAGAACATTTGTGAGCCATCATGTACACAGCCCTTCCCCACTTCCCACTTTAATATGTTCCTCAACCAGTGTCTCCTGAGGGCACGGAGGGGGAGCATGTGAATCTCACAAGGACCATAAATGGCCGACGTCCGATCTTTTCCAAAAACATAACTTAGTAAGGAGAGGAAGACAAGCCAGGGGAGCTATTCATTGAAAAGGAGAAGGGAATAGGAGGAGATAGTAGAGAAAGTGAAAGGAAAAAGTGCCTGGTAAAGAGAGACTTGCTCCTTGAGACAAATAGTTTCCCAAGGCGTCTACAGATAGGAAGATATAATGCCTATGTGGACATGTGCACACTTGGAATCCTGGTTCTGCCATTAAAAATTATGTGACCATAGGCAAGTTACTCAAACTCTCTGTGGCTGTGCTTTCCCATCAGTGAAATATAGGTAATAACAGCACCTTCTTCTTAGACTGTCCTGACACAGGGTGCTGAATACATCTTGGGAACTATTATGTGTGTTATTGATGTGGTGTGAGATAACTAGAAAATAATGGTAGATGACTCTGATGGCAGAATGAGCTCTGTCTTGGTGGTGGGCAAAAGACCGTGCCATTTATGGTGAAAGACACATCTCTGTGGGCAGGGGTCATCCCCTCTTTGAAGAGGAAGACTTCAAAGAGGTGGGGCTTTTCTATTGAGCTTGAAGGCAGTTCCAAGAGGGAACCACATCATAGGAAAACACCTCTGCAGGCAGCGGGGAATGAGGATGGCAGGTCAAGGATAGGGATAAGCTTGGTTACCAGCGGCAGAGCTGGCGCTGATCCCATCAGTGAAACCAAGAAATGTCAATTCAGTAAAAAAAAAATCAACATGATGCCCTGACCCTTCATTGCATTTGCTGTGTGACCCAAATGATTCTTAACGCTTTACATCTACGAATCATTTGATCCTCTCAACAGCCTCAGAAGGTAGGCTGTATGCTCCCAATACTATAGGTGAGCACTGAGGCACAGAAAGGTTATGTAATTTGCCCAAGGTCACTCAACTATTTTACGGTGGAGCTGGGATCTGAACCCAACATTTGCAGAGTCCTTGCTTTTAACCACTATACTGTATACTAATAACTAAAATTTATGAAAAGCTCAATATGTGCCACGTTGTAGTTTGTTTAGTTCCTATAACAATCCTGTGAAGTTAGAACTATTATTATTCCAATTTACAGAAAAGTAAGGCTTAGTGGGGTTAAGTAACCTCCCCAAGTCCCATAACCACATACTAAGCGGTGCAGCCTTGTACTCAAGCAGTCTGGCTCTAGAGCAGGCTTTCTTAATACCCACCGCAAAAACCAGCAACAGAGCCATCCAGGAGGAAAAGGGCCAGAGGTAGAAAAAAAAATAATTTCTAAGCATGCACAATAGTTAAACAGCCCTAGTACAGTAGAAGTATTGAGATGGAGACAGGCTGAGCACTGAGAAGAGGTCGTGAGACTTATCTCAAAGGTCACTGGAGTGACTCAGAGTTTAAGTCTTGCAATGAGTACAAGTTTAGAACGTTATGATTTATATTTCTTGACAGGACTCAAACCACAGGAACTCTGAGAAGCTCAGATATGGTGATTTCTTCCGCTCCTGGGTCTAGTGACTTGTCTTTACAAGATGAACTCCCAGGTCACACTACTGAGGCGAGTTCCTTTCATTTTCCCAACCAGTTGCGGTGGGCCTGGCAACTAGCAGGCACATGGTGCTAACCCCATATCTGCAGTGGGTAAGCTCGGCTCCAACATTTAGGGGAGCCATGGCAGAGAGATATTGTGGAAAGACTTCTCTAATGTTCACTGACAGTTTTCTCGAATGTTCTTTCAGATTCTCCATGAGCATGAACTGGCCGGTGAAGAGTCACTAAGGCAAAAACGAGAGGGTATGTGAGATCTTTGTTTGGCAATCTCTCTTAGAAGTCTAATCAAATGGCACAGGTTACCACCTTTTAAACACTGTGAATGCATGATTCAGTCTCCAGGCAAATCAGGGTCCCATAGTGCAGTCTGATTGCTAAAAGTAGTTATAAAGAAACTCCATTCTCTGTCAAACGACGTGAACTTGATCATACCAAAACACAACTCCCCTCGCTTCCTCACCGCCGTTGTCTTCCAATGGCCCCTGGTATCTCGGTGACTCTCTCCTCAGTTGCCCTCCCATACCACCAAAAAGCCTGCTTCCCTGCTTCCGATCCAGAATCCTTTCCTGTTGCCTTTTTTTATTTCTGACTTCTCTCACCAAGCACTTTGTTTTGTGGACTAACTAACCCACGAGGCTCAAGACCTCTTCTATTTCCCATTCCGATGTTCCCATGAACATTTGAAGCAATAGACCGGAGAATACGAGACTCAGCCCTTTAATGGGTTGAGGGCAGGTGGAGAGCTGTGAACACTGACACACTGACCCGCACATCCCATCCCGAGTGGACCTGGGCAGGTGTTGGAGCACATCTGCAGCCTGGGTGTTCCCGGGGCCTGTCCTCCACTCCCATCACAGCAACCCTCCAGAAGCACACATCGGATCCTGTCCTTTCCCTCCGTAAAACCCTGCCTGGGCTCCCCATTGTGTTAGTGCCAAAAGTCAATTACCTGCTTACATCTCACCAGACTTCCATGTGTTTCTCATTTGATCTCCTTCTGTTCCCTTTGATGTAGTCGTCTCACCCATCACCCCTCTTTGTTTGTCTGGGAACTCCTCCTTAAGTCTCAAGTCACACAGATTCCTGCTGGGTAAGGCCTTCTATGGATTCCCCAGGGCATCAGGAACTGCAGTTCCTGCCCTCAGTACATTTCTATTTCACATTTGTCCCAAAGCATTTAAATCTATCTCTCTCACTTTTTTTTTTTTTGGTCAGATCCTCACACTGTTGCTCAGGCTGTGTGGTAGAGTGATCACAGCTCACCACAGCCTTGAGCTCCTGGATTTAGGCAATCCTTCCTTCTCAGCCTCCTGAGTAGCTGGGACTACAAGTGTGCACCACCACGTCCAGCTAATTTTTTTGTGTGTGTTTGTGTGGAGATGAGGTCTCTCTATGTCACCCAGGTTGTCTCAAACTCTTGACCTTAGGGAACCCTCCTGCCTCAGCCACCCAAAGTGCTGGGAGTGTGCCATCACGCCCAGCCTGTAATCATTTTACTTCCTGTTTGCCAGCCCCAGTAGAAGAGACCTCCATGGAATTCTCCTCACCTCTGCTGCCTGGCATCTAGCTCGATTTCTCTGTCAATAACTGAGTGAACAGATGAACAGCTTGCATGACCCCATCATGGGAAGCCCTTTCTGAGTCCCTGTTGAGAAGTGTCTACTGGCGCAGTGACTGTACCAAATTTCCAGAAGGAAAATTATCCTCACCTATTGCCTTATGATTGAATAGTTTTTCAAGCATGTGCAACTTGATCTAGTCAGTCCTGGGATCTAAAAGAGATACTAGGCTGTCAAAGACAGCTGGCATGACCTGAGATCAGATTAGATCCATCTGTTAGAGCCCTTCACAGTGCAGTGACCAGACCCAACTGTTGTCCCAGGCTTGAAAGGAGAATTTGTCCACATTTTGTTAAGTTCTTGAAATGCTCACCGGAAGGTCAAACTGCTGCTGGTTTTCCCTCCCTCCCCACCTCTCCCCTATCTCCCCTTCTTCCCTCTTCTCTTCCCTTTCTTTTCTGTCACCTCTACATCATCCTGACAGCACCACCCCATGACCCTCCTGCACCCTGTGACAGGAATTGAGTCAGAGATATGCCCAGTAGTATTTTGAAAGACTTTTACATTTAAAATCAAACTAGTTTCCGATGAGTTCCAGCTGAGGTTTCTGCCCAGTCCTAGACCACAGGCATCCAGCTTCCTCAGAGGCAGGAACATCTTCTTGCACTTTCAAGCCCTACTAGCTGTTCATGACCCATGGTGACAATGTGGTAGCCCTTGGGAAGGGAACCATTTTACATCTAAGAATTTGACATTCCAAACTTTTCCAGGAGTGCTTTCATTAAAAACAATTATGACCATGATAAATCACCCTGAAACATGTTTTCCATTTATTATACATAGTTTTCTGTGCTCTTGGGTCTTTTGGGAAATGCTGATACATCAACCCATCATCTGCAGAAGATGAATTGGCCTTGGTACTTTTACAAAATCACTGAAGTAAGAAATGACCGTAGAAAGACCCAGGCACTAAGCCCCAGATAACCAGAATGTAAGCTGCAATTAAGAGCGTTACTCTCCAGGAAAATGATGGAAGAAAGCTATAGGAATGTTAACTTCAGCAGGATGTCACACAGAAGCATATGCGTTCCATCTGGGTTTTAGGTAAGCCAGGTGTTAGGACTGTGTCCTGATTTTCAGAGTGGTATTCCTTTTCAAATATTCATTCCTCTCTTTCTGAAGCCTTGATGCTAGAGGTGACAAAGGTTCCAAGACAAAGAGAATTAGGTCAGGAATTCTTTTTGCATCACTGGAGCAAGTCTTTAGGATTTGGAATAGAATCATCTTTAAAGGTAGCATCAACTTATTCTTAATCCACTGTAGATTTCCACCTGAGTGACTTTGGTCAGATACACAGTCTCACTGTTCTCTTATTTACAGTCATTCCTTGGTATTCATGAAAGACTGGTCCCAGGATGCCCTCAGGCATCAAAATCCCTGGGTGCTCAAGTCCCTGATCTAAAATGGTGTAGTATTTGCATATAACCTATACACATCCTCCTGTGTACTTTAAATCATCTCTAGATTACTTATAATCCTTTATGCATTCCAATGTTATGTAAATAGTTGTTGTATTGTATTGTTTAGGAAATAATAACAAAAAAGTCTATATGTGTTTAGTCTTGACACAATTCTTTTCAAATATTTTCAGTGTGCAGTTGATTGAATCTATGAAAGCAGAGTGCATGGATACAGAGGGCCAACTGTGTTATGCCACATGTATATATGTTACATATGTATACCACATGCACACATACATATAAATATCAGAGTTATTACCTTACAGGGTTGATAATATTATGTACATATTTATTTAGAAACATTAATGGCATTATCTGGGGTCTATGTATTAGTTATTTATTTATTGAGTTAGAGTTTCACTCTGTCACCCAGACTGGAGTGCAATAGTATGCTCACAGCTACTGCAGCCTTGACCCACTGGGCTCAGGTGATTCTTCCACCTCAAACTTTCAAATAGCTGGGATTACAGGTTTGTGCTACCATGCCTGACTAATTTTTTATTTATTGTGGATGAGGTCTCACCAAGCTGTCTAGGCTGGTCTTGAGCCCCTGTACTCAGGCAATCCTGTCACCTCTGCCTCCCCAAATGCTGGGATTATAGGCGTGAGCCACTGCACCTGGCCTATTTTCTTCTTTTAATCGTTTTTTTAAAACTATTTTTTAAAAATTAAAAACAACGGCAATTGATTTGTTTATAAAAACAGTACTACATTTAAAAGGGTCAAATATACCCCTGGTACAGAGAAAGCTACTTGAAGGCAGGGGCATGGAGACTGTAATACAGGAATTAGCATTATAGGAAAATTCTTTCAAAGATCGATTGGGGAAGAAAAGCCTGCACAAAACCCTGAGACCAGAGGCAAGAATAAGCATGGAGCTGCCTGTCAGAACAGAGAGTGGCTATAGTGGAACAGAGGGAAATAAGAATCATCAGCAGATCCAGGTCTGTGTTGTAATTCCATCAGGGAACAGATTCTAGACCAGCTGAGGAGCTGGCACTGAGAAACAACTGAGGAAAGTCACCTGAGTGAAAACTATCCATGTGGTTATTAGTGAATGAATTGATGAAGAAATCAGTGCCCAGGAGTCCAGCTAGAAGGCTCAGCAGCCTGGACATGCAACACCGGCCATGGAATGAGATAGGAAAGAAGCAGAGGTGATGCTGGCCAAAGACATCCTGGGAAATGCAACAGAAAGGCTTGAAGATGTGAAGGGCAGCAACGACCCCCATGACTCTCCAGGAGTCCACAAACTAGAAGACTGTGTGTCAGGGAGACCACAGTCTTAGACTGGAGTTAGAAGGAAATCTTGTTCTAGAGGTTGGCAGATAAGCTCCAAATTTAGTCTTAAGGGGAATCTTCTTAAAATGTATTTCAATAGCTTTAGGGATACAAATGGTTTTTGGTTACATCGATACATTATATAGGGTGAAGTCTGGACTTTAAGTGTACCAGTCACCCCCACAGTGCACATTACCCAACGAGTGGTTTTTCATCCCTCCCCTCTTCCTACCCTCTTAAGGGGATTCTTCACAGGGAACTGGAATTGGATATTTCTTATTGGTTAGAATTGGCAAGGTTCTTCACTACAGGTTTCTGTCTTGATTAGAAAGGGGGCATGTCTTAGGGCATAGTGCTGAAGGGTCCCCGTGGGTTCTTCTTTGGCTTTGAAAGAGGAATGACTAATGAGAGACAAAACAGCGAGAGAGGGGGATCAGGATGTCCAAATCCTGCACTGGACAAGTTCACATTTTCACGCCTGTTAGTTGGAGCAAGGTTCCTTCCAGAATGGGTTCCTGGTTGCTAGCACGGAAATCCTGACCTTCCTGCAGGCCTGGCACCTGAGTGTGCTGTCCCTTTTTGATCTGGGTTCAGGAAATGCTTTGTGTTTCCCAGGTTAAGGAACAGATCTCTGAGTTTACATGGTTAGAATCTTTTCTGTGATAAATTGTGGTATTTTATACTCTGAGTGGGTCGTGGTGGTGCTGAAGTGAGATGAAAGACTTGGTGCTCTCTGGCTGGCAAGTGGGGTTGGTTTAAGGTTTGACACAATGTTGAGAATGCTTTGCTTTTACAAAAAAATTCTGATTAGTGTTCTTCTTTTTTGTTAGTTTGTTTAACTCTGTCAAGGGTGAGACCTGATGGAAATAGTGTTAGTTTTGCT